GCACAGGAGGCCAAAGAGATAGAAAACATATTAAAAGACATGGAAGACAGATCCATATCTGAATTCCCAGAGGATGGAGAGTTTAAAAAGAAATTGACTCCAAAATCATAAGATACAAGGAGGATTATTTAGCAAAAGAAAGTAGTAAAATTCAGTGCTAAGTACCAAAAAAGTATTTATGACAAAACTCTTCATAAAAATCTCATGCTAAAAACTGCCAATGATAACAAGTGAATTGGCTGAACGTGGGCTAAGGAGGGAGAGAGTGTGCTAAAACCATGTAAGACACTTGCCTGATTGAAAGGAAGCTAGAGATGCCAATTAACTCCTGATATTGTTAGAAAAATATTCATACGTATATATATTATAAAATTAAGAGTAATTATGAGAAAATACAAATGAAAGGAATAAATGTCAGTCATTTGTGGGGAAGGGATAGAGCTCAGAATAAAGAAACCCCAATCAATCTAGCTGTGTCCTGAAGAAATAACACAATGAGTAATTAGGATGTTTCTGGAATTGTAGAAATGGTCTATCATTAACAAGTCTTTAACAATAATTCACACGAGTAGGTCAAACAAGAAAAATAGATAAGCATCCCAAAAAGGTGAAAAACTCATTTGATCAACTTCAATCCTCATCTTTGATTAAAAATACAACTTTAAACTAGATAATTTAAAAGATACTTTGAAAACTTGATAAAGAATACCTCAGGCCAGGAGTGGTGGCTCACGCCTGTGATCCCAACACTTTGGGAGGCCAAGGCAGGTGGATCACAAGGACAAGAGACCAAGACCATCCTGGCTAACACAGTGAAACCCCATCTCTACTAAAAATACAAAAATTAGCTGGGCATGGTGGCACGCGCCTGTAGTCTCAGCTACTCAGGAGGCTGAGGCAGGAGAATGGCTTGAACCCGGGAGGCCAAGGTTGCAGTGAGCCAAGATTGTACCACTGCACTCCAGCCTGGTGACAGAGCGAGCCTCCGTTTCCAAAATAAAGAATACCTCAAATACCTAACTTTGATCAATATCCCACCCCAAGGCATTCCTGCTAAAGTCAACATCAAGAGTGCACACATAACTTTGGGAGGCCGAGGCGGGCGGATGACGAGGTCAAGAGATCAAAAACATCCTGGCCAACATAGTGAAACCCCGTCTCTACTAAAATATAAAAAATTAGCTGGGCGTGGTGGCACGCATCTGTAGTCCCAGCTACTCGGGAGGCTGAGGCAGGAGAATTGCTTGAACCCGGGAGGCGGAGATTGCAGTGAGCGGGGATTGCAGTGAGCGAGATCGCGCCACTGCACTCCAGCCTGGTGCCTGGCAACAGAACGAGACTCCGTCTCAAAAAAAAAAAAAAAAAAGAGTGCACACATGGCTATTTCTAGCCACTGCAATACAGAATAAAAAATAACAAGAAGAAACGTTGAAACGAAGAAAGAGAAACATTATTGTTTTCAGAAGATAAGATTGTCAATGTGGAAAACCAAACAGAAGTCACTGAAAAAGTGTTAGCACAAGTAAAAGAATACAATAAAGCGGCTGGCACAAAACAAACTATTATCATTATTATTTTCTTAAACACTTTTTTTTAAGAGATGGGGTTTTGTTCCACTGGCCAGGCTGGAGTGCAGTGGCACAATCCTAGCTTAAGGTCCTGGGCTCGTGCCATCCTCTCACCTCAGCCCCCCACGGAGCTGGGATTACAGGTACAAGCCACTGCTCCTGGTAAAAATAAATTCTATTTTGAAAAAAACCCCTCAATTTTCCGAAAATAGCAGGTTGTCAAATGAATTTTAGATTCGCTGTATAATTAAATAGTACTATGTAGCCTTTAAAAATAATAAAAATAGAATTGCATGAAAAAATTTTCACTTTATGTAAGTGACATAAAGCAGTTTATTTAAAAAGTACCAAAGTAAATATGTACCTATGCATGTAGAAAAATTAATAAGATACATGCCGAGATACAAACAGTGATTATCTTTGCACAGTAAGATCACAATGGAATTTTATTTTCCTCTTAGTTTTTATTTAGATTTTTCAAACTTTCAGCATTTGAAATTAAGTTTACTATATTATTTACTGAATATTTACCAAAAAATAAATTGCCAATAAAATGAATAGTGTCCAATCTCACAAAAAATAAAACTGCATATTAAAACAAAAAAGCACATAACATCTAGAGGAAACTCATGATCTTGGATTAGATCTCAGTTAAGACAGACTTGCTATAAAACATAGTAACAGGAGGAGAGGCAGATTCCATGACAGCCCAGCCACTAGATGCTATTAAGAAATACATTTTAATTTTTGATAATGTTATTTGGCTATTTTAGGAAAACGTAATTTTTTTAGAGATAGAGAATAAATTATTTAGAATAGGTTTCCAGAATGCCTGTAATTTTTACTGTAAGATATTTAAGCATAAAAAGATAAAGGGAGTCAAAGGAGGATTCTTGTTTCTTCAAAGATGTTTTAAAAGGCAAGATTTTATTTTCACCTATCAAACCAGGAAAATTAAAAAATATAATATCCAGGTTGGTAGGTGGAAACTAAAATAAGAACCCTCACTTACTACTTAGGTAGAATTAAAAAATTATTCCAACCTTTCTAAAGGGCAATTTGGTAATTTATATAAATATCTTAAAAAATACCTCCCTTTATTTTAGCAATTCCACTACAAGGAATTTTCTAAAGAAATAGTCAAAAATGTACACAAAAGATATGACTATAAGAATACTCATGACATAATAAAATATTGAAAAAATCAGAATCTCTAGTGTAGAAAATGGCTAAATCAGTTATACATAAATAATATGCAGCCTCAAATATTGTACTTTGAATAAATGATAATGTTAAATGAATACAGTAATACACAATTATATATGTAGTAGGACTCTAATTTTGCAAAATATGATTAAAACATGACATACATAAAGTCTAGAGGACAAAAAATGTGATGAAATATATCAAATACTAATAGTAGTTCTCTGAATCTCTGAATTATAGATGAGTTTAATTTTCTTTCTTATACTTTCAAATCCTTAAAATGTCTCATTATGAACATATTTTATAATCCATAAATGTTATTTTAAGACAATCTAATAGTTGCCTTTATAGCTGTGTAAAAATATTTTATATTTTATCCTTACAGAAACATGCAGGCTGGCCGCAATGACTCACACCTGTAATCCCAGCACTTTGGGAGGCCGAGGCAGGATCACGAAGTCAAGAGATTGAGACCATCCTGGCCAATGTGGTGAAACCCGGTCTCTACTAAAAATACAAAAATTAGTCGGGCCTGGCGGCACACATCTGTAAATCCCAGCTACTCAGGAGGCTGAGGCAGGAGAATCACTTGAACTTCACAGGAGGCGAAGGTTGCAGTGAGCGGACATAGCACCACTGCACTCCAGCCTCGCAGCAGAGTGAGACTCAAAAGAAAGAAAGAAAGAAAAAGAAACATGGTTGTTTTATTTGGAATATTAAAATATAAAGACAGAGAACTTTCAGATAATAGTAGATAACTGACATTCACAGATGAGGACCCACCCTACAGGTCCCTGGCACCCAGACCCACGGTGTCTGGATTCATGGGACTGAAATTCAGCCACCAGGTGGAAAAGCTGATCAGCTGTCCTTACAGCACCCTGCCACAAACACGCAATATTCCTCCAGGGGTGTTCATATTCTGAGGCAGTTCCTAGCATATACACTAAATGAACAAAACAGTAACTTTTATATTTATGGGAGATAAAAAGAGGAAACATGGGAAGATGAGAGTGGAAGATTAGAGAGTTCATAGTTTTTTTAAAGAAAGTAAAAAGAGATAAACAGGTAAAAGCCATTTATTTTTTAAGTGCATCAAATGAAAAGGGTGAGGTAAAAGATGAAAAAATTATATTTCAGAAAAAAAAGTAGACAAGACCTATGAAAATTAAAACTACAAAAAAAAGAAGCCATCAGAAAACAGAATTAAGTGAGATAAGTAGAGGAAAGATCACATAATCAACAAATAGACAAGAGAAACATTGTTTCATTTGTCAAACTTAAGGTGAGGGACCTGGAGGAATGCAATTGCTAGACTGTGCCAGATTCAAGGTTGTGAAGGGCTTGGTCGCGGCCACTTCCTCCATTTAATAAATGTCTATTCAAAGCCTATTTTTCTGCCAGAGCCGTGCTAGGCATTAGGCACTGGGGATATAAATATGAATAGGACTGACATAATTCCTGCTTTCGAAAAGCTTATGAATTAGTGGCAGACAGACCAGCAAACTATTGCAGCACCATGCGACAAGGGTGATCAAACACACGTCGGCTATAAAAACATATCATATATAGGTGCCGTATCAGTGGTATATATAAAATACTATTAAATGTTTCTGAAAACAATAAACTAGAGAAAGAAGAAAAGAGAACATTGACTAGACCAAAGCAGAAGAAATAAATGAGTTAGTTTTCTTTTTTTTCCCCCCCATTTATTTTATTGCATTTTAGGTTTTGGGGTACATGTGAAGAACATGCAAGATTGTTGCATAGGTACACACGTGGCAGTGTGATTTGCTGCCTTCCTCCCCATCACCTACATCTGGCATCTCTCCCCTTGCTATCTCTCCCCAACTCCCCACCCCCCACCGTCCCTCCCATATTTCCCCCCAACTGACCCCAGTGTGTAGTGCTCCCCTCCCTGTGTCCATGTGCTCTCATTGTTCAACACCCGCCTATGAGTGAGAACATGCGGTGTTTTTCTTAATTATCACAAGTGCTAGCTGTTTTCTATCTTTTCAAGACAGCTGTAAAGACACCGCTTTTTATCTGCTTGTGAAATTCAAAGGACATTTGCAACATCTGCGAAAAGAAACCACTTCAAACCATTTTGCAAAAGGACCGGCAAAAGGAAACATTACCTATTTCCTATACAGTGGTTAACAAACTTGCTTATTTGGAAGCACCTGTGCCATAATGTGAAAAAACCACAGAAATATTTTTACTTACCAAGGTCTCTTTTTCAGAAGAAGAGAAAATAACTTGTAAATGCGCGGAAACACAACGGGAAATGCTTGACAAATACAAGTCCTTAGTTTAAAGTACAGTAAAGCGATACCTTAGAAACAGATTGGTGCCATCTGTTGGCCCATACTGGAATTACTCCTACCTGTGTATTTCCCTTTCACAGGTCAGGAGGTTTATGACTTAGCAGCTTTTTCTGGGCTACAGACTAAACCAGCAATCAACTTTTCTAATTCATGTGAGTAAGCAACTTACAAACATTTCAATGTGAACATAAATATTTTTCTAAGGTAATATGTCTCTGTAAGAGTTTGCAGCCTGGATATTACATTTGTTACCCGAGTGGAAAGTTGTTTTAAACAGCCTGTTTTCTAATATCACCATATTTAACATTTCAAGAACAATTGCAATTACCATTATCATGTGATTCTGAGCATTATTTTAGCTGAATGGGATACTTTAAAATAAAATAAGTATAGCTCTACAATTTGGGGTTTTTTTTAAAAAAAAAATCAACTTCTAAGGAAAGTTTACTGATTGATACATATTTATGGCTACATATTTATGGCTACATATTTAGCCATATCTAGGAGGAATCACACCCACATTCTGATCAACATTTGGTGTTATTAAATGCTTTAGATTTTAATTTATGAATAATAAATAACACTGAAATGCTGCAGGACTAATTTAAAAATCAATTTTCTAAAGACCATTTAGAAGAATTTCAGAAGGACATCAACAAAAGTTGATTACCAGAAGTGTCTGGTTAAGCAGAGACTTCTGGTGGCCAGTAAACCCTTTTCCCAGACTTCTCACCGAACTGAAGTTCTGCAAAGAACAGACAGCATCAGCGAAACAATCATTCTATAATTAATCTCACTGTCTGGAACAATCTCATCGTTATTAAAAATAAAAAATAAAAAACAAGTTAAAACCTTACAATTTGGCTAATGACAAAGTTGGACATCTCAGTAAGACTCACTTCTGCTTTCAGGAGGAAGAGAAAGGCCAGCTTCTTATGATTCATCCTTACTCATCAAACATAACAGGAAGTCTCCTCAGGCCTGGGGAGGCTCAGTAAGGAGTGGATGGGTCTCTGCTCCACTGGCAAAAGGAGACAGACAGCTAGAAAACAGCAGGTATCTGTGACCCTGGGAAACCAGATTTGCAAAACAAGCCAAGGAAAGGGGCTGGGTGTGGCTTTGAGGGAATTTCAAGTAACCGTAGACTAAAATCTTAAGAAAACACACACCTTCACTGCAGATCTGGGCACACTGACGTGTATCTTTAGGAAATTGCATCACAACACCAACGTTTGTGAACAAGGAGACTATTTTGTCAAGGCTGTCATAACTCAGAAATGTCTGCAAGAGGATGACAAAAACAAAAATCAAGTAATAGGGAAGACGGCAATGACAGTTAAGCAAACAAAGAAACAGTACTGGGCCGAACTCTCGACTTGGCCACTTACTGTGAGGCTTGGGACAAGTTCCTTAACCTCCCTTTATTTATCCACAAAATGGGAGTACTTTTAGGAAAGATGATGAATTTAAAGGGGCTGGAGTAGTGACTGATACAGAAGAGAAGTCCTAATAGTAAGGAGTTTGGAATTCTACGTAAGTCATATGCTTTTTTGTATACTGAGGGGTAAAGATTTCAGGACATACTATGAAGTGAAGAAAATCAAGGTGCAGGCCAAGTATGGTGGCTCATGCCTGTAATCTTAGCACTTGGGAGGCCGAGGCAGAATGATCACCAAAGGTCAGGAGTTCCAGATCAGCTTGGACAACATGGTGAAACCCCGTCTCTACTAAAAGTAGAAAAATTAGCTGAGCATCATGGTGGACACCTGTAATCCCAGCTACTCGGGAGGCTGAGGCAGGAGAATCGGGAGGCAAAGGTTGCAGTGAGTGGACAGCGCTCCACTGCACTGCAGCCTGGGCAACAGAGCAAGACTCTGGCAAAAAAGAAAAAAGAAAAAAAAAGAAAAGGAAAGAAAGAAAATCAAGGTGCAGAACCATAAGGAGAATATGACGTCAATTGTATAAAATCTAGTCTATTACACATTTACATAGGTTATCTTCTTCTAGGAAGGGAAGGGAAGGGGAGGGGAGGGGAGAGGAAAATCAAGGTGCAGAACCGTAAGGAAAGTATGGCATCAATTGTATAAAATCTAGTCTATTACACATTTACGTAAGTTATCTTCTTCCAGGAAGGAAGGAAGGAAGGAAGGGAGGGAGGGGGGAAGGGAGGGAGGGAGGGAAAGAAAGAGAAAGAAAAAAGATAAAGAAAGAAAGAGAGAGAAAGAAAGAAAGAAAAAAGAAAGAAAAGAAAAGAAAAAGAAAGAAAGGAAGGAGAAAATCAAGGTGCAGAACCGCAAGGAGAGTATGGCATCAATTGTATAAAATCTAGCCTATTACACATTTACATAGGTTATCTTCTTGCCAGCCATTGCTGTGACTACTTTCCAAGCATTCACTCATTAAAGTGCTATGAGATAAGTACTGTCACACCATCTCCACTTAGCGCCGGGGCAGGAGCAGCTGGGTAATGGTTCAGGCTTGCACTGCTGGTCAGTAGTGGGGCTGGGGTTCGAACCGAGGCAGTTTGGCCCCAGTGCCCATGCACTTAAGCATCACACCATGCTGCCTTATAAGACACTCTGTGTCCTCCTAACATACACAGAGAGACACAAAGAGAAGCGGAACATTTGCACAGGCGGAGATTGGGGTGCTGCAGCCACAAGGCAAGGCCAGGGATGCCTGGAGCCACCAGAGGCTGGAGAGAGCATCACCGTATGAACACCTTGATTTTGAACTTCTGGCCTGCAGAACTTTGAGAGAACAAATTTCTGTTGTTATAAGCTACACAGGCTGTGGTGACTTGTCATGGTAGCTATAGGAAACTTAACACAAGGGTCTACATACTTATGTTGATTCAGGCATATGAATCTTTTTTCTCAAAGGATACATAAGAAATATTTACCTTTGAGCAGGAGAACTAAGAGAAAGAAATTATTCGCCTTTGCGTGTGTGTGTGTGTGTGTGTGTGTGTGTGTGTGTGTGTGTGTGTGAGTGACAGGGTCTTGCTCTGTTGCCCAGGCTGGAGTGCAGTGGCACAGTCATAGCTCACTGCCACCTTGACTTCCCCTGCTCAGGTGATCCTTCCACCTCAGCTTCCCAAGTACCTGAGACCACAGGCACGCACCACCATGCACAGATAATTTTTATATATCTTTTTTTTTACAGAGACAAGGTTTTGCCATGTTGCCCAGGCTGGTCTGGAATTCCTGGGCTCAAGCAATCCTCCCACCTCAGCCTCACAAAGAGCTAGAATTACAGGCTTGAGCCACCCTGCCCAGCCTCTTCACCATTTTATGCTTTTTTTCTGTTTAAATTTTTTTTTACTATATATATTATTTTTATATGTATAACACATATATTACTTTTTTTTACTATACATATGAATTTTTTTAAAATAGTGTCACAGTGGAATAAGTATCATAAACATAATCTAAGGCCAGCAAATATACTGTCCCAATACAGACACAGGCAACACATTATTTTGATGATTTTTACATTTTAAAAAATGTTATTTGTCTTTCCCCAGACAATTAATAAATAATATTTGTGCCTACCAACAGCTTTAAAATAAGTTCTGTGACAATTATCAATATCATAAGCTACACATTTGACAGAGATAAGGCTGATAATTTTGGCCAGGCACAGTGGCTCACACCTGTAATTTCAGCACTTTGGGAGACTGAGGCAGGCAGATCACCTGAGGTCAGGAGTTCAAAACCAGCCTGGCCCACATGGTGAAACTGCATCTCTACTAAAAACACAAAAATTAGCTGGGCCTGGTGGCGGGTGCCTGTAGTCCCAGCTACTCAGGAGGCTGAGGCGCAAGAGTGGCTTGAACCCAGGAGGCGGAGGTTGCAGTGAGCTGAGATCCCACTGCACGACAACTAGCCTGGGCAACGGAGCGAGACTCATCTCAAAACAATGTTGATAATTTATATATTAAGTATTGACAGTAAAACTAAACTTCTCTGCTGAATTTTAAAAAAAGACAAACCATAGACTGGGAGAAGGTATCTGCAACATGTATAATCACAAAAGGGTTAATGTACAAAATACATAAAGATTTCCTACGAATCAATTTTAAAATGACTAACAACCCCAGTGGGGGAAAGTGAGCAAAGGATATCAACAGATGGATAAGAGAAAAGGCAATAGAACTACCTCTAACACGTGGAAAGTTATGCATCCTCATTAGAACATGGGAAAATGCAAATTAAGACAACCAGGAGACACTACTGCACACCCCTAAAGTGGACAAAATTTAAAACATCTCATAATATCAAATAGTGGCTAGAACATGAAGAAATAGGAGCGCACATACATGTCTGGAGATTCTGATCTAAGTGATCTGGGAGGGGCCGGGCATACGTTTTATTTCTAAAGCTCTTCAGGTGAGTTCATTCCATTCTAACCCCGTGAAGATCAGGGCACTGAGACCTACACGCTGGCCTGAGCACAGCACCCTCTAGTGGTCTACATGTTCTTGGCTGCACCCTTCATACCCCAGGGCCTGGGAGTTGGTGCAGGTGTTCTTGACTCTCGTTGCTACTTCCAGATCACTGTTCCTTCCCCCAAACCTGCTCCTTCTGGTTGAAGTCATCTTCTGAGCCCCATTGCTTCATCAAGTATTCTAGCACTACTCACTATTGAAATCCAATACCACCCCTTTCATAATTCTAGTGATTTCAATAGCCACATAGAGACTCTTTAATTCTCTCTTTTAATGATCTTGTCCTGCACCCTACCTCAGTCATGCATTCCCTTATTATATCCTAGTTATCATTATTAGCAATGGCTGCACCCCCTTCATAATCTCAGTGGCCTGAATCCCACTTTCCATCTCTCACCTCCAACTCTTCCTCTGATGTCAGCGATTCCCCAGCTTCACTGCACTGGACTGAAAGATCATGCTCCATCCTCTTAAACATTCTTCTGCAGCCACCTACTCCTCTTTCCTCGACGCAGTTTAAATCCAGCTTTCCACTGGACTACACTGAGCTTGAGTGGCTGTACATAGTTGGAGACAATACACA